AATTGTCACCAACCACTTGTCATCAACCGATTGTCATCAACCATCAATTCTCACCAACCAAATGCTACCCACCAATTGCCACCAACTATTCTCACTAACCAATTGTCCCCAACCAGTTGTCATCAATTAATTGTCGCCATCCACCAATTGTCACCAAGCAATTGTGATCAACAAATGATTTGCTTGCCACTTGTCTTCTCTAGCAGGCCGGATGTACGCCCCGGTGTTGGCTGGTGCTGGCCGGCGCTGGCCGGGGCTGGTGGGTCTCCGCCGCTGTGCCGCTGTGATTTGCGCGCTAATTGTCTTCTCCAGGGGGTCGGATGTACGCCCCGGCGCTGGCCGGTGCTGGCCGGGGCTGCTGGGTATCCGCTGCTGTGCCGCTGTGGTGCGAATTGTCTGGTGCTGGCCGGTGCTGGTGGATATGCAGACATACGCGGACATGCGACAAACCATCAGGCCACCACCAAACTTTGACCACGCTCATCCCTCCAATTGTCACCAACCAACTGCCACCAACTAATTGTCACCAAACACTTGTCATCAACCGACTGTCATCAACCAATTGTCACCAACCAATTGTCACCAACAAATTGTCACCAACAAATTGTCACCAACCAATTGTCAACAACAATTGTCCACCAACCAATTGTCATCAACCATTTGTTTTCTCCAGGGGGTCGGGCCCGGTGCTGGCTGGTGCTGGCCGGTGCTGGTGGGTCTTTGCCCTTCTTGAAGGGTTATTTTTGAGGGCCTGTGTTTTTAAAAAACATGGTCCTCAACCAATTGTCACCAATCAATTGTCACACCAACCCATTGCCACCCACCAATTGTCACCAACCACCTACGCAGACATTCTCTCTTGCTAAGTTGCTAACATGTGGGGTTATCCGGTCCCACAATTTTTTGATGTGGGTTTTTTAGGACATCCAATACGTCACCAGCTGCAGAAAACGCGAGACCTCATTCCGGGTGGCGTTCTTCGCGAGACCGATGGCAACGGCTGCCTTGTGATATGTTCTAGCTTGTGAGAGGGATGAGGCCAAGTAAGTTTGGGGGTTCAGAAGTCTCCAAGAATCTTGCCAGCAGTGTTGCTAGGTGAAGAATACAAATTTGCACCTAGTCAGACTGGTGCTGCTTTAGGCCCTTTGTTGAGATTTCGGCATTCCTTCGTGGGGTGAAGAAGGGATGATATCTAAAGATGATGGGATTGATCTCTTTAGGGATACCAACACGTCAGATAGAATTGTATATAATGATCCTGAAGTATACGAAATCGGAGGTGCCAACTACTGGTGAGCATCTTCCATCCTCCGGAATCGATATCTTGGAATACTTACACTCGAATTGGGAAACAACCTGTGTGTAAGGGAAAATCGTCTGGGCCAAGGGACAATTTTACACTCCCATGTTAGTGAGTCAGAGTGTACGTAATATACACGATGCAAGTATATAAAAGTAAAATGCAGCCTGGAAAACTAGGATTGGTATGGATTTGTCCATCAGACCTGCGCTGGCATTCCACATAGACCCATCATTCTGTTCGCAAGAGCAGATGGTGAGGGCCTTGTCCCAAAGTGAGATTGATGCACTGCAGGACGCACTTTTTCAGAATGAGCATCCATTCAACCTACGAAGGGCCTTTCTATTCGAAGATATTAATATTTGTATTACAATTCCAGAAACACAGGAAAATCCACTTGAACATTAATTAGTTTCAAGTCCTTTGGAGACAATAGCCAGTTCTTCATTTTATAGGTGCCGGGAATGTTTCGGACCCCAATGCTCCAGACCCGATGCTAGGAGACCAACAAATTGAGACTGACTCATCTTCGATCCAGTCGGCAATTGGTGCGTGGTGCCCATGGCTTGTTCCATAACTTGCGGGCCCTGCGAAAGAGGCTGGCAGAGATTCATGGGAACTGTCAACAGATCACGCTGCAAGAGTTTCGGGATGCCACATGGTCAGCGCAAGAGATCCATTTGCTCAACGAAGCTCGCGCTTAGCTTTGGCAAACTTTATGAACCCGTGTGTTTATATTTTGTTGCTGTAGAGACATAGAACCTTTCAATGGGTTGATTCCTCTACTTTAGAAGCTTTGCAAAAAAGTTTTTCGGCCTCCGTGTTCAGTCCCAGCTTCAAAGGAAGTCTCTAGCTCTCTCTCAACCATCATCATGTTAGAAGTTTGCGAAGTGATGGCTCCGGCAATCTTTGTGATTTTGCTGATGTGTTTGCGAAGCAACACCTTTTTGGCGCAGAATGAATCGTTCTTTCTGGGTTTGGCAGAGGCCAACTTCCAAGAAAGCCTCATCCGGAATGCTTACAGCCTTCTTCTTGAAGTAGCCATGTTAGTGGCAACGGATCTTTTCTCCCGGAAAACGATTGGACTGAGCTTCGTGAGTGTGATGCGCAGCGTCCTTCAATGCGATTTCAGTTTTTGGCTCTCCACACTTTCGGCAGCCTATGTTGGCTGGCTCACTGTGTTGGTCAGGCACACTGGCCATGACATGAACTTTAAGTTTTTATGGCTGCCTTGAATCATCAGACTTTTTTGTTGACTGTATCCAATACATGCTGTACCTGAAACTTGTTTGAGGAAGTTACTGAAAGAGACATCATCAAGTCAGCATCATCCACTGTGGCTACCCACAGGGTGAACTCATTTCAGTATATATTTAATCGCCAATCAAGTTCTCAGTTTCCCGGTTGCCGAGCAATTTCGATACCCGGAGAATATTGTCGCGAGGCATGCTGGCGCTAGGAAATGACCTTTGCTGTTGCATAACAACCTAGCCTTATTCTGTAGAAATGCAGATGAAGGCATGGAGCTTGGAAAAGAGTCTATTCTCGTGGTGGTTTGGAAGCGTGGTCGGAATCCGAGCCTACCATCCATTCACGAGGTCAACTTGTACCATGCAGCTATAGCATACCCTGTTTGCACACAGCTCTTGAATTGTTTTGTGTGCTCATTTCAGTGGTGCTAAGCTACACTTGCAAGGACATCAGAGAAAAACACGTCGACGATGACCTTTCTTGGACAAAACACCACAGTCTCGCAGAGAAGACCTCCGAATATGTTTGTTGGAGTGCTTTGCCCTTGTTGGTGGTTTCTCTGTTGTGCCCAAGAAGGACATGATGGTGTTATATATAAACCGGCCAGGTCATTTAAGTGGCAAATTGGATTCATTAGAATCATTAGAGGTTTAATAGACATGGTACTCTACCAGCGTTTGTATCTTGCTGTTGGGGATGGGAAGAATGACACACCACCTTTCACTAACATTGGCTGTATGTCAAAGCATGTGACACCCAGGAATGCTGATATACAGGATGTCACCTATTCCTACGTGTTTGATTTAATTCCTCACACTTGTTGATGCCTGGAGGTGCAGGGTTCCTACATGAAGTTTTCAATCACAGAGGTCTTCAAAATTCTTCAAATACCTAGGACCTAGAACATGCAAAAAGGAACACGTTATAGAAGCATATAGAAACCTTTGGTTCACAAAAGAAGTGAACACAAAATAATCAGGTTCATTGCTCTTGTTTTTTTTCAGGAAACCAACATCTCTTTCCCCTCTTGGCTAGCTCCTCGCAGCGAGTTCCTTGCTTGCCGGACGTCCGTGGCCGACCTAGGTCGGCCGTGGACGTCTGTACTCCGCGCTCTGAGCGAAGAGGCCGCGGGGTCGGTGCCACGTCCAAACGGAACCAGGGTTTCTAGGTCTCTACTGTATGGTTTCTCTGTGTGTGTTTTAGTCTGAACCACTGGTTACCAGCCATGGTGGTAACTGGATCCACTGGGATGGAGGTCTTAAATCGAATGTACCAGGTGGTACCAGGACAGAATCAGTAGTACTTTCAGTGTGAGATGTCTTGAGATAGTTGAAGAGATCTGTTTGTTCGGTCACAATAATATGGGCCTGTAAATGGTCACCAAGAGAGACTCCAATTCAAGGTCGTGGTATGAATCTTTCGATGGGAGAATGTGGCACATGATTGCCACTTCCATGTTTGAGAGTTATCGAGTTAAGGTCATCCAGCATGGACCACGGAACTGGGCTTTTCGGAACATGTTTCTCTAATGATTACTTGTTCCATGTGTTCTTCCCCTGATAAATAGACCTGATATGAGAGCTCCTGCATGTTCATGGAGCATCTGGGGATGGAACATCAACATTTGTTTGCCCCGCGAAGGCTTCGCCCATGAATCTTCTTTGCATGCCTTCATTTGGGCCATAGGTTCTTCACTTCGTGACCTCGACGTCTCTTTTTGTATTCGCCAGGTCCATCGAAGGATATCCGTCTCAAGACTCGTTCGAGTTCTCCACTTCCGGTATTTGAGAAGTGATGAAACGTGCTTTATTAGGCCTAGTACAATGGCAGGTGGTGAATCTGCCAGGTGAGCCTGGACCAAACTCCCAAACTTCTCAAGACATGTCCAACTCAGTGAACGTCCAATCTGAATCCAGACACTCCGATGGGGACTGGAATATATGGCCTACAGTGAAATCATCTGAAATCATTCGGGTAAATATAGGCCATACATGGATGGTTTGGGGAAGCATCCTCACTGTTTTCTGGCGAGTCTTTGAAGGGGATGCCATCCCTTTTCGATTCCTGAATCCGGTGGTATACCATACGCGTTGCCGCACCGCCAGTGGACCCACAGGGAACGCACCTGACCTCCATCTTCGGACCTGAACCAAAACCATTGCCAGCAGAGGTTGAAGAACCCTAGTTATAGACTATCCTAGCTAGATTAGGTACCCCAGCTATCGGTAGGTTACGGGTTCTTTTCAGGTCAATTATAACCAATGCATGTGTTGGTGTTTCGGATTCTTAGGGAGAGACCTAAGTAGATCTAGGTGAACCATCCCCCTCGGCCTCTCAACAAGTCCAGGCCCTCTCAAGCAGTTGAACCATCCCACTCGGGCACGGTGCAGCTCAATTCCTATCATTCCTCATTTCCTCGTTCCGTCCCCATGCAGGCGAGGACGACCCCATGCGTGAGACTGACGTCGGGCCTCCCTAGGTATCCGAGCTTTTGTGGAGGAACGAGGAGGTTTGTGGTCCCAAAATAGAGAGAACCAAAAAAACATGTTGATGAAGACACGAACAGATTTTGGTTTGAAGGGGAACCATTCAGAAACGCCGAACTTTGCCGGTTTTTATGCAGGAAAAGGCATAGATTTTGCATATGTCGTAGTTGGAATAAGATCCAGGTATTGTATCTTGCTTTTTGCACAAAAGCCGATGCCAACTCGAATATGCATTGCTATACACAGACTTCACCGGAAAACAGCGGCGGGACATCCGACGACCTTCACCAAAGCTGCGCTCCGACTCACTGCCACAAATGCGCTGGACACAACAAGAAATGTCAATGAGTGTCATCCGATGTCCCGAACAAGTGCATCGCTACTAGTAACAAGTGCCTTACCAGTAGTAACAAGAAGCTATTAATTTAAATTCTAATAGCAAACATTGTTACTACTAGTAAGGCACCTGTTACTAGAAGCGATGCAATTGTTCCTAGTAAGCTTTGCCTAGGTTGGAGGCCATACGGCACCCAGACAGGATGGTCCTGGTATACGGTATATGTTAATCATGAATTTTCAGGATCTTTAAGGCCTTCTTTTTTCCAGAGATCTCTGAGATCTCGTCGACTGAGGATGATCGACAGCGAGGATTCCGCCACGCTCGTGGTGTTCTGTTCTTATATCGTGCGCCGGGCCAGACACGACTAGGCGGTGCGCACTGCTCAACCCGCAACTCGAAAGTCGAAAGAAGACCAGACATGACTTGGGATTGGCACTCTAAATTGGGCTGGTTTGATTCCTCGATGTAGACATTTGTTTTGCAGGTCCCGTGGAGTGTTTGTTCAACCTGGTGGCTCTATTCGTGCCTTGCGCAAGGTATTGCAATTGTTGATCCGGCATTTAAGGGAGCAAGCAGTCGAAGGCCAACCTGGTCGAAGTAAAGATATATAATATATATAATCAAGGACCACAGTGCAGCCACGGAACCTCATTAATGTTACACATCATGAAGCCTGAAGAACTCTGCACAGATGCTCGACAGAGGACAGCACCTGCGACATGACTCGAAAGGACTTTCGTTTCAGATCCGATTTCCACTCCAGGACCCGATGAATCATCGTATGGACTGTATGGGTGTGTGTAAGAGGACTTACGATTTGCCAAGCAATGGGTTTTCTGGGCTGAAAGATTCTTTCAGAATGTCCCACACCCGTTTGATTTCTTTGTTTAGTTATTACTTGTCAATAACAGGAATTACTATTTAGTTATGACTTGATTACTTGCTATAGTCTTTTTAAATGGCACGGTGCATTTAGTTGTAACTATAGCAAAGAAACGAAGGAGATGAAGGACTGGGTAACTGTCCATGTCCGGGTAACTGTCCATGTCCTTTGGGAGCCCGCTCTGTCGACTATCTTCAGTGCGCAGGCCGCAGTCGCGGCACCAGGCTTGGACGATGTGTCCCAGAAGATGGAAATCCAAAAAACTGAGGCTCACGTTCTTGTTGCGTCTTCAATGGGGTTCAGAACAGACAGTTCGTCTACCATTCATATAGAGATGTGCAGTCCAGGCAGTTTACGAATTCATAGAAACTACTCAACTCTTTTTATTTTGGGGATCGTGGGATCATGGGTTTTTGAATGTGTTTGATGCTTTGTGGATGATGTTTCTCGCAAGATCCTTTGGGTTTGCTTCCTTGGGACGTGTGGCTATTGATTTGGTCTTTTTCGGGGAAGAACACTGCGAGAATCTGAAGATGTGGACGAAGACTTTTAGGTTTTCCACCGTCCTGGTGTCACACTCAGAGCCCCACGCTGTGACCTGTCGTGATCATCCCGCCTGCCACCATCGGATGACCATCAGGGGCCTACATCGTCCTACATCCCAAACACCACGGCGGGTCGCAGCTTCAGTGCAAACAGGTTGAGAGATCTAATTTCTATATAGGACCCAGTCGTACGGGCCACCCAGGGATGGGCTGTTCAACCTGGTCATATGGGTCATCCCCAAACATCGCCTCGGCTCTCGGTGAACACGGCCGCGTCGGTCGGCCCGGCCCTCCGTCGGCCAGGTGGTCCACATCGCACGAGCGGATCGTCGGCGGGTCCCAGCGAAGCAGCGGAGGAAGACCAGTGATATCGGGAGATGGACTGCCAGTGGGCCGGTGGGACTGCGGGTGGCACGGTTGAACAAAAAGATGTTCTACGTGGGGATCTACGAACTTCTATCTATGACAGGGGGTCTATATATAGATGATTTGGCCAATCCTTCAGCTACATGGGGTTAGTAGCGACATGGGTAGTTGCGGAGTGAAAAACACCAAGTGTGCTAAGTTGGTTGGGGCAGTTCAAAGTTTGTATGGTTGGCTCTTCATGTCCTAATTCAAAAATGCAAACGTTTGCATTTCCTACTCAGGTCCATCTCCTACCCGACTCGCGCGCCGCGCGCACGCTTGGTTGAGATGAAGCTCCGCCCAAAAGATGATCGTGCATGGTTGGAGGCCCGGCAGGTGTTGGCCAAGAGGACTTCAGCCTTGGGGGGTCTACGGTGCAAGCTCATCAGAAATGAAAAGGGAGCTCAGCTGTAATTTCGTGTGGAGATCTGAATGGTGGGGGATCGGCGCCAAGAATATGCCCTTGCATTTTTGAGAACACCACAAGCATAGGCAGCCGTGGACTTCGGCAATGATATCATTGGAATGATGAGCCAGGTCGAAAAAAAGGCACAACCATAATAAACAAAACACAAAAAGGCAAAATACAATGGGAGTGGCTGGGCAAGGAAACGGCGGCAGCGTCCGGAATTGGAATACCAGCCCCCTTCAATGAACAAGCCACCAACACAAGCTAACATCGCATTCCTGCCATTGGTTTTGGCATGTTTTGGCAATGTTGACCCAAGCAAACTTTCTGGGAAGTCCAGCTAGACACAAAATCTATATAATCATTTCGTGAACTGTTTGTTGTTGGTAGGCTCTTCCCCCTTGTTAAAAGGTTGTCGCGCTTGCAGCTTCCAACAATTTGTTCTTGGAATTCTAAGCATTGTCTTATAGTTGTGAAAGGGCTCTAGAAATCGTGTTTTCAATTTACACGGAGAAAGAGCATCCTTATGCATCATTCGGGTACCACGGCAGGCTTCGATGCCAAGCCAGGCCAGATGTTGTGGCGCACAAAATGATCCACTTCAAAGTTTTCTTGATGAGACAGATTCAGCCAAAGCAATGTTGACGGACATCCAATAAATTCTAAGAAGTTGTTCAAGCACTGCCATGTTCCTGGTGTTATCCTAACAGTGAGCCATCATCTCTGCCCATGACATGCAGTTTCACACCTTGGATTTCACCGCGTGTTACATGCGGCGCCGAGAAAAGACCGCTGTGCGCTCGAAGCACTTCGATATGCATTTGGATTGTAGAGAGATGATTCTCCAAGCAGGCGGCTGTCCCAGCCACTTCACATAAGCTTTGACTGCCATTGCACTCTTCGGCCCAAGTGATCACTTGGCAAGACCTTTCTTCTGGCCGCGGCCGATGTGCACAAACTCGGGCATGAAAGTGTTGGGAAGAAGCGGGCGCAAGCGGGCGCAAGCGGTCGAAGGAGTGAAATGTGGTCGAAAGGGATGTCATGGTAGAGATAGAAATGAGTCCCCAAAGAGAGAAACAACGAAATGAGTCCTTTTTTTTGGTGGTCCCCATTCTACAAGGGACATATGAAAACCCCCAAAGAGATATCGCTCAACGACACTGAGCGATTCCGATGCCTCGAGGGCTTCGATGCCTCGGCCAGCCTCGGCCTGATATGGTTGATGTCCGAATGTGAACTTCGCCAGGCGCAAATCTGAACAAAGTAATTCAAAGGTGAACATTTTCAGACTTTGGTACTGCCATACTAAGACTAAGACCATAAGACCATAACATACTCAATTCATCACACCCATACTTGCGCCACCCGCTTCGCCATGGAGACTGCTTCCATGAGTCGAATTGCAGATGCAGAAAACGAGGACGTTTGCGGCGGTTTTCGCTGTGTTCAAAACGAAAGACACTTCTGGGTGTTCTCATGTGTTGCCTACATGCAGCATTTTGGATGTAGCAGGATGGTGAGGATCGCAACCCTCCCTTTGGGCTATTTCCCGCTGAGCTGAAGCCTCTACAGAAAGTCATTGAAGAGATCCGCTCAGAGGTGTCAGTTGGGATAGATGTTGCGGTGAAGAAAGCGCAGTGAAAAGCGCGTGAACTCGAAGATACTTTCCCGGCACTCAGCGAAGACGAACGAGCAATGATCTCGCTATACACAATGGAATTGCATCCCAAAGAGCGCTCCGTCTATTTTGCCATGAATGCAGCTCTTAGAGATAGAGAGCGCGAAGCAGTCAAGGTCTGGAGATCCGCGATTTGGCTGCTGGTCACAGCGATGAACAAGCTCCCACGCGAGAAGGAAACCGTCTTATACAGGGGAGTCAAAAAGGCCGCTGCAGAGCTAGGCAGGGAAGTGGTTGGCAATCAGTTTATCTCACGCAAAACTACTGCCAAGAGTCCGTGGGTTATGTTTAAAGCGACTGATTTCATTAACTTTATAATGCTCCATCCTCCCATCCTCCAAAACTCTGCTGTAGGAAGGCAGTGCGAGAAGGGCAAGGTCTTTCTGTGGTGCGGGTTCAGCAGCACAACAAGCCATGTCGAAGGCCTTCAAGCCTTTCTGGGCACAAGCGGGCCACGCACAAAGTGGACTCTGAAGTTGCGGCCGGGTTTCTATGGTGTTGACATCCGCCTGTTTTCCTTCTTTCCCAAAGAGTTCGAAGTCCTCCTGCCTCCGCAGCTGGAGTTCGAAGTGAAATCCGTGCTGGACTGCGGCAACGGCTTCATAGAAGTACAATGCGTGCAACTGGAGGAGACAGATCCAATACTTGACTTCGTGCAGGCCCAGGCAGGTGGCGTGGGTGGCCCATGCAGTAATACTCTTGGAAGTTCAGCCGCATCGTGCTTCAGAACTGAACTGGGAGAGTTTGAGAGATTCCGAACGGTTTTCTTGTGGCCTCATTCAAGGAACGGTTGAGTCCTGTAACTTTCGATTCCTTTGGAGCGAAGGGTATAAGAAACATTGATTTGAGACTTTGCAGGATGCTCGATTCTTGCAAGGGAAAGTCAAATTCGAGTGATGAGGGGAGGAATGACAATTTCAGTTCTTTATTGCCTGGGCAAGATTTCATGTTTGCAGGTCTGCCAAGCTTCACCTGGATATCCCAGCAGATGCCCCGAACTTCAGGTGCCAAGATGGAAATCCAAAGCTTCGTGAAACGCAGATTCTGTGCTGGGAGCATTCGGAAGCACTCTAGTCTACAAGACGCAGAAGCACTCTCACTCTGACTCTCTCTCTCTCTCTGTCTTTGTGCAGAAGTGGAAGAGTGAATCATTAGCAACCACAGAATAGCAAGCAACATCGATGGTCTTAGTTTCTATGGACGTACAGATAACAGGTATCGTGCCTGTTCCTCATTGACTGATGCATCTGCAACACATTGCAACACTGAGCGTTTCGGACACGTTCTGTCTTGCAAACTTCCAGCGAAAGATGGCGAAAGGTGACGAGTGCACCAGAGGCACGACCTTCAGACTTGTAGCTTTGGCTTGGACCACCATTTTCTGGGGAGCTGCAGCTTGGATGTTCATGCAAGTCTGAAGCAAAGCGAAGCGAAGTCCAACGATACAGTCCAGCGAGATCAAGTAGCAAATCAAACATATCGCATTTGCTGTTACCGATCGGTTCAGTAATCCTTGTGACAATCATGTTCAAGCAAACTGTTTGATCCCCAAAACAGGGTGCAAAAATATCTGCAAGTCCTGTCCATCTCGCAGATCAGCAGATGCCTCGACCTCAGGCGGCACCTCCCGGTTCGGTGCATTCGACCAGTGCTCGGTGCTCAGAGAGTTCGTGTCGTTGGTGCGCGGAGTTGCGGCTTTTGTGCACTGAAAGTTGTTGCATTGTACTCCCACACTGATGGCAGGAAGATGTAGAAAGTACTATATAGTGTATATTACTCTGCGTGGGGTCATTTCATAGCCAAGCACATTTTATGATGATCTCTTCAAAAGTAAAGGCGAAAGGGGTAGTTTCACTGAAAATGGAACAGTTCTTTGAGCGATGTTCTTTTGGAACGGCATTGGGCATTGAGCAGAATTGCAGCTGAGATGCAAGCGGTTGATTTGCCGTATAGACGGAAATAACTAGTGGAAGGTTGCCGGGAAAACCCTCCTGAGCATTTCAATGAGAACGTGGTCATACGTGGTCAACAGGTCTATCACAATAGAAGTGAGTTATTGTTGCAGGTACATCTATATGTCAGCTATGAAGTGGAACTAAATTATACCCTCTCTTTTTGAGACGCTGTGAGAGGTGCATTTTTCGATGAACAATGAACCCAAAAAAACAGCGCCGCTGAGAGCGCTGCTTTCTGCAAATATAAAGCCTTGCAATATGGTCCTTGGTGGCCAGAGTTGTCACAGGCTGCGGTTGAGCCGAGACTTCGTGGACGCGCGTCCAAGGTGGGAGGGGAGTCTTGACTCCGACTCCGAATCGGGTTCGCCCTCGGTTGGCCGACTATCTCAGCTTGGAAAATGTTCACCGGAAATGTGTTCCTTCACCTGGGTCGCTTCAAGAAATAGATGGCAGATGCGAAAGCGCCGCAAGCGGATGGCATGACAGGAATCAAAGACTCCTGTCGATGTTTCTGGCCAGGAGCCCAGGAAGGTACTTCAGTTGCGACAGCTTCTCAACATGGAAACGCACAAAACGCACAAATCACTTGCGTTCCTGAACATGTTCCAAGGGATAGAAGCACTCACTCAGCTCCCTTCGTGCTTGCTCGTCTTCGCACCTTCTGGGCCCCAAGGAAACCGAATCGAATCGGTAGATAGAGAGAGTGTGCGCTCTGGAGAGTTGATTGCGATTGAGCATATATGTCTGGTCCGAAAGAGCTCATCCAGTCCGAGCAAACAGCGCCTTTATAGAGGTCTCTTGTCTCTTGCAGTTGTTTTTTCTCGCCGCGGGTGTGTTTTGACAAGGCAAAGTGCCACTCCCTTTGGTCGTTTTTGTTCACGTCTTTTCTCGCGAAGCCATGGGGTCTGCAAGATGTTCAAGCCGGCATTCGGGTCAAAAGGGCGGTTCTCGGCGTTTTGTTTCGCTCCAGCTTCAAGCCTTGACAGTCCTTCACGTGTTTTTGAGCACATGGGTGTGACCAGGACGGAGGTCACCGTGAGAGGAACAACGGTCCTCGACACGGCAGCCGGGCATGCGGCGTGGGCTCCAATCGAAGCAGATGAGTTTCTGTCGGTTTGGGATGTTCGAGTCCATGAGGCTGGAACCTCCATGGGGCCGCGAAGAAGGGCGAAGTTCACATCCTCAAAGCGCTGCTGGATGGCGGTGCCGACAAGGACGTTCACATCATGTGGCCGTGGTATCGTCCGACTTCTCCGGTAAGGGCGAAGAGAGTAAACAGAGATAACGTAGCTAAAGCAGTTTGGTTGGTCAGCTCAAGTAACAAGCTCAAGTTCAAGTGTTCTTCAGCCGCTCAGGAGAGGAAGAACCAGCATGGCTGGGGACCTCAGGTCACACCCGGCTTCGCCTCGGTCCTCGGTCCCCAGGATTGGAGACGCCTCAAAGGCCTCGGTGTGCACACCTGGAGATCCAGCGTCCGCACACGCATTCGCAGCTGATACCAAGTCTGACTCCCTTTCCACCATTTTCCACAAAAAAAAATCTGCTTTTTCGGCGGATTTGGAACACCACATCTTTGCAAAGAATGGCACGAAAAATGCAAAGATTCTTCTAAGTACTTGTAGGGCACCGCGCGGACACCTCCACGGTGCCATACAGCACTTCGCCACCGGTCTCTCAAACCGGAGCAGAATAGATTACCAGGTGAAAGGGACAACCTGCCAGGGTGAAACGGGCGAAACGGGTGCCATGACCCCACAGCCATTTGTTAGAGGCTACCATACGCTCGTATGCCACTGTCTCTGCCGTGTTTACACTGTGCACAGTATATGAAGATGTGTGAAGGGTCAGCATTGCAATCTTCAACTTGCGTCAAGTAGGTCCTGCCAAGGTTCGTGAGCTTTGCCCGGCTGAAAACCAACCTGCAGAGTCTCCGGCTTCTCAGACATCTCCAAAAGAGCCAAAGATGCTTTGGCCTAATTGAAGCCCGGCAAGACAGATCCTTTGCCTCTCTCAACTTAAGTCAACTTCTTCAATATCTCCCACGATCTCAAACTTGGCACGGTCTTTCAGACGCAAAACGTTTCACTTTGATGCCCAAAGACAGTCAGGATGGGCCAAACCGGTTGGTCTTACTCTGTGATGGATGATCTCGTGCGATATCGCGTGTCGAGGCAATTGCGTCCTCGTATGGTCGAGAACCCTTTACAGAAACATGGAACACGTTCGAGTCCGAAGTTTGCCACCCATCCCAAGAAGTTTGCAACGGAATACTCCGAACCTTTGCCACTCAAAATTCAGGAGATACCCTCCTTCTAGACTGAAAGTTGCTACCTGCAGCGTTGGTGAAGTCGTTTGCCACCAGGTGGACTTTGATTTCGACACATGTAGGCCTTGCCCTTGCCAAGCCTTGAATGCATCCTCCTGAAATCTTCCCTCAGTGCCACTTAAGCCAAACCAGATCTTGATGACCAAAGAGCTTCACATCTTCCTTGTGCCAAGAGCTCCCCAAGCACAAGCTCAATGCCTTGACGCATCTTGACGCTAACAGATCCCTTCTGCTTCTTGACCCGTTTAAATCGGCTTCGTGAGGTTTTGTGACGTGAACGCACCGTTTACATGGAGAGCTAGCAGCTAGTATGGGGGCTAGTTCTTGTCCCCAACAGCTCCAACAAAAGCTGTGGCAGAACTGCAGAACTAGAGAAAGTGTCTTGAAGCTTTGCTTTTTATATTTTCCGAGCAGCCACGCCACCTTCCTTGATCGAATCCTGAATCCACTTTCTTTTTTGCGGCGCCTTGAGGTGAAACTCCCTTGCACATGGCAGCAGAAAAAGGCCAAGTGGGAACCCTCAAAGAACTCCTTGCTGCCGGCGCAGAGAAGGACGCCCGGACCGATTCGCGCCCACGCCCTAGATTCGTCACCGACGACCGATTTCGCTGCGGCGCCGGGGACTTCGCAGCCCCAAACATGCCCCGGCGACAAGCGTGGGAGGACGCAAGCTCGTGCGGTGCGCAAGATGGACTGGATGGAGTCAAGACGTGTTGTGTACCTGTAGATTCTTTGTCCGAGCAGTCAAATTCTCTGTCCGAATGCAGGGATTCTCCCAACAGTGTGCTCAAAGCATTTTTAACATGCTCTAGAAACTGTGTGCACTAGTTAGTAGATGGCTCTACTTCCTGTTGTGCTGTGGCACCGGGTTCAGGTAAAACTCCACTGCATGTGGCAGCAGAAGAAGGCCAAGTGGAAGCCCTCAAAGAGCTTATCGTCGCCGGCGCAGAGAAGGAAGCCCAGACTATTTTTTGCCGGGGCCCGCAGATATGTGAGCGACAACGGACCGATAGATAACGATGTCAGCACAGCAGTACCAGAGCACCTTTTCGGAAAAGCGCTGGGGGCTTCACAACAAAGCCCGCACACGGTTTAACATTATGCACATTTTGGGCAAAGTCCTTTCACATTCAGATCTGAAAGGTTGACTTTCCGTGCCGGCCAGAAAAGCTCTGCTTGAGAAGCTGTTAGGAGGGAGTTGCAACGTGAGGACCCAAACAAACATGTTGACACTCCAAAGCCTAAGTGTCATTTTGGAGAAGGCGGTTGTCGGAATGTCACTTCCTCAATGTTTGAGGAACGCACTATCACTTACTGTACAATTTGTAGCTGGTTGCAGATTTGGTAGGTTCTTCCTTTAAGCCAACATTCTTCATGGAGGCAAAGCTCTCTGAGAGGAACGCTGTGTCTTTGGCACTCTTTGCATCTGTCTGGGTCAGAATCCTAGTCACCACTCCACTGTTTGGTCTCCAGATCCTGCTCGTGCCTGCAGCGGTGCCGCAGTACTTGTAGCTCGATACCGCCCCGAGGTGAAACTCCCTTGCACCTGGCAGCAGAGGAAGGCCAAGTGGGAAGCCTCAAGGAACTCATTGCAGCTGGGGCAAAGAAGGAAGCCGTGAAACAAGTGGGCCCGGGCCCCAGAAGAAGGCCTTGCAACAACGAAAGAGGAATTATTCGTGGGATTGGGCTTCGCACGACAAGCTAAACATGAAAACAATAGACCTTCAAAGGTAGACTTTCCTTGCAAAGCTCGCTCGCCAATTTCAATAAGTAAGCAGGCGCTTTTTTGGCTTGCTTCTAAGCCAAGTGGGAGTGTCATCCTACACTTTCATGTTTGTAGGTTGCTGCATCTTTGACTCCTCGCAAACCAGGGAACATTGCTTTTGGGAGGACATGGTAGCCGAACTCCTGTCTCAGTGCCGTGGCAGCTTGATACCGCCTCCAGGTGAAACTCCATTGCACTTGGCAGCAAGGAAAGGCCAAGTGGAAACCCTCAAAGAGCTGCTTGCGGCTGGTGCAGAGAAGGAAGCACGGAACATTTTCGGCCGTGAACTCAGAGAATTGAGTGATACTGTAGCCGAGCAGGAAGGGTCAGTGTATGTTGCAATGAGTCAAAGGAAAGCCATATGGAATGCAACTCACTTGCCATAGAGATCCGATAGTAGCGCAATGCCCACATTACACTGGGAAGCTATTGCTGCCATCAGACCCAAACACTCCCAAAACCTGCCTTTGTGATCTATTATATATAGAGACTTGCCATTATTATGGTTTCAGGCCCTGAAGCGATTTCGGTTTCCACAGAAACCGGCATTGGCGCAGGTCAGACTCCCGCAGACCTGGCGCGCGAAAAGGGCCACGCAGCGATCCTGGAGCTGCTGGAGGCCGTGGCTTCTGTCGATGCATGTGGTGAAAGAAGTGGCCAAGCCAAGCTATACAAAGCTCTTTAGTTAACATCGTTCTTACATGTTCTTGCAAACAAGGGCAGGAAGCTAGAGCCCTTCCACATCTCCTTGTTTTCTTGCTGAATTGAACACAGTGGAGGATGAAAGGGCTGGTTCTGGGGGAAGGTGGAAGCTTGCAAAATCAACCAAGGGATTGTTTGCAACCAAACCATCCTAAATCCTAAATTGCCAGGCCATTCTGTGCCAACATTCGTCGGGGTTGGTGGGAGCGTGTATTTGGGCATAGTTTACATGGGTCACAGGGAAAAGGCTGTGGTAGGGCTGCTACATCTTGTGGAAGGAACTGTTTGTAAGGAGAGCTCCAGTCCTTTAGAAACAGCTTGTCAGCATCCTGTGTCATGGAAGACGTCTCAAGAGGATCGCGTTTTACGGCAAGGGTTGAAATTGGGTGCGCACATCCAGCTTTGTCTGAATACCTTTCTGTGTTCGATTGGAACGTTTTGACACCAGACTCCAACAAATTGCTGCGCCATCGGCATCTCGCCTGTAAAACAAGCAGCCTTTAGTTGACTGTAAAGCCGCTTACCTTTGATCACACGAGCCTCCTTCCCTGCTGCCGACAGAGGCATTGAAAATCGACCTAGTTTTTACAGTTGCATTTTGGCATAAATTGGTGGCTTTGGGAGGGCATATGGCAGCACAAACATGGTCACAAAGGTAGAGCTGCTATGCAAGTGATGCTTACATTGTGAGGTCGCATTACCAGCTTTTTGAGTTTAAACAATTGGATGGTTTACTTTATTGCCTGATTTTCCTTCAGAGCTTGAGCTTGGTGTTTTTCTTCGCTCGGTGTCGTTCCTGCGCGGATGTGTGTGTCGACGTCGACGTCTTCACGATATCGGGGGGCGGGTGGGGATAGCTATGGAGCGGACATTTCAATTTATAAGTGCTTAAGAGCTTCAGATGCCAAGTGCAGTTTCGGCAGAAAGTTGGGATGGATTTGGCCGCAGGCGCCGCAAGCCCGTCGTGCAGACCTATCAGAGGTGTCCATGTGCTCACATGCGCTGAACGTGTCATCCATGGGCGCAGTCGGTTGGGCATTGGGCATGTCTGTCATGTCCTAGAGGTTTGTGTCTTTCAGTGGACTGTGTGGCATTGCTTCCGATTGTAGATCCTCAATGTTATAGTGCATAAATAACAAATTGTGTTAGGGTTCTATCACCTTAAGAACTGAATTTGATGAATGGCGATGGCAGGCCATACATGTGGACGTCTCCGGCCAGGAGCTCATTGTGTTCAGTCTTTCAGGACGCTCACTGGAACAGACTTGGCTTTCTTGGCCTTCTCGAAAATAAATAGCCGCAAAGGCGCAAAGGCCTTGCTGGCCTTGCCCGTTCCGCCTTCTAAAGGCCTGTCACATCCGGTTTATCGTTTATCGCATCCGCTCAGCCTGTCACGGCTGAGGTTGGAACCTGCACGAAGCTACAAAAGAAGGTAAGATTGGCATTCTCAAAGCCCTGCTGGATGGCGGTGCTGACAAGGACGGGTTTCGCATGGTTTCGCCGTGGGAGAACCCTACACGATTGGAAATCTTTCATTTTGCTGTTGTGTCCCAGTGACACGAGTGTCAGGAAGCTTGAGAGTCCGAAAAGCAGTGCCAGCACTCTTAGGACATGAAGAACAAGTTTGGCTGCTGCCTCAGTGACTCAAGTCTTCCGACCTCAAGTCAGCTCGCCGGACGAGGTTGACCCATCGTTTTCGCCGCACGCGCGCACGCCGAGCCCTGGGACTTGAAGCATAGCGGTCAGTCCGTAGCGGTCAGTCTAGCGTGGGTCATTGGCCGCGTCGAAGTGATGAAAAGTGCTACTCATAGCTGCGAACTTCTCAGAACTCTCATATTGCCATCATATAACGCAACTTTCAGATCAGGACCCGGGCAAGTGTATTGCTAGCAAGCAGCTTCCCAAGTGGTCACCCTTTCTTGATCCAGGCATACTCAAACATGTTCTGAAGACTTCTTGACACCTCTTTTCTTACATCTAGGCTATAATAGTTTCGCTGCGCGACCTTGAGGTGAAGCACCATTGCACGTGGCAGCCGAAAAGGGCCAAGTGGGAGCTCTCAAAGAACTGCTTTCTGCTGGCGCAGCCAAGGACGTCCAGAAGAATCTGGGCCTGGTCCCCAGATGTGACGTCGGGACGCTCCCCCACCATGCAGCGCGGTGGATTTAGTGTCAAAGCAACTCATCAGGGCGATATACATCGATTGATAGGGAGCATGAACGGGGTGTACGCAGGAGGTGTGCTACAGCAGCGCAGGATGTTGGCAGGGAATCGCCGCCCTCTAAGACTGGCAGAATGAATCGCATGCAGTTGCTTGTTTCTTTTGGGGGGGTGCCAACACGTTCAATCATACTTTATCATATGTTTATCATATGTTTAAATTCATCATTCCTGCCTTGCAACCAGAAGTTCCACTGCGGTTCCTTCACCAGCCCCTCCCGTCTCAACCTCGGCCGCCCCGGTGCCGAGGGGAAACGGCCTTGCACGTGGCGGCCGAACAGAACCGAGTGGAGGTGCTGAAGGAACTCCTGGCGGCCGGCGCTGCGAAGGAAGTCCCGAACTATTTGGGCCGGGACCCCAGAGGTTTGTTTTTTTGGAAAAGGATCCAATTTAAAATGATAATTCTATAATATATATATATATATGTAAGACGTAGCAAATAATGTGAAACAATGTGGGATTTGTTCATCAAAACAAGCACGTGTTTTATGTCGTTTTTTGGTCGCCAGTCAAGGAGGCCTCCATTCTGCGCCTTCGATTTTTGTATATTCCACTCCACAACTCTAGAAGACAGGTCCCACTGTCTCAGCACAGGGGCCGGGCCGGTTCCGACAAGGTCGAAAGGAACAAGAGGGAAGTGAAACGGGATAGACGTCCGTATCAACGCTTCAGGACATGAAGATGTGAATGTTGGTGGTCCAAAAGTGATATTTTATTTGAAGGACGCGGCGAAACGGTTGTGTTTTGTTCCTCCAAAAGATAGAGAGAGTGTCCTGTCCTTCATGAGCTTCAGAGGGGCGAGTCTCTGAATTAGGGCTCAATCTCTCAGGTCGTTCTCGTTCTTTCTCGTAGTCACGTGTCATCCTGATTCGTCTTGCAGTGGCGACACCATTGCAGGTGCAACACCATTGCACGGGGCGGCGAGATATGGCCAAGTGGAAGCCATCCAAACACTCGTTGCTGCCGGCGTAGCGAAGGAAGTCCAGAACACAGGGGGCGTTGGCCTCAGATTTCCGAAACGAGTTTCTTTGGCAAAGCAGCGAGGGCTTTACAACAACGCCCACACATTGCTCAAGAGATCCATCAGATGGCACACGCCCTTTGCAAGATGACCAACCCCTGTGTATTTTTTTCGATCTCCATCTCAAATGAAACAGTAGGACTGTAGACCAAGAAGGCTTGACATTTCCTTGCAAGAATCGGAAGAGCTATTTTTGACAAAGCGAGCAGCTGTTCTTTCAGGTGTTCTTCTTTTTTCCTGCACCGTTTGCATCCGTTTGCTGCTGTAGTGTTTTTTTCACAGCTTTGACTCCACACAAACAGTCGTACAAATAGCGGCCCGCTTTATATCAAAACCAGATAAATTGTTGGGAGGGGATCGCATACATGGCGGCCCCGCTTCTTCCTCCCAAAGAGCGGGGACATATTTCCAACGCCCTTTTGAGGAGTGCAAGCATTGTCACTTACCATTTGTATCTCAATGCTTGTGAGTTTCCATGCTTGTAAGCCATAGCTGGCGTTTTCATGGCACAAAGCTGGCTTATTCAAGCGCAAGAGTGCACACTGGCTTATTCAAGTAACACTGTGAGACCGACGCAACGGACAGGGACACCAAGAAGGCTTGTACACTGTAGGACCCTAAAGTGCAACACAGGCTACATCGATTTCTGTTGGACCGACACGTGTCAATCATTCTTTGCCACAATCTCTTGGATCAAAAAGCCCTCAGTGACCCGGTTTTCACGGACAAAACACGCCAAAAAAGGCCTCACACGTTTCTTGGATTCCCGGATTTCTGCGCCGCCTTGAGGTGAAACGCCCCTGCACTGGGCCGCCAGGTTTGGCCAATGGGATGCCCTGAAAGAGCTCCTTGCGGCCGGCGCAGCGAAGGAAGCGCGGAATCACGTGGGCCAGGGACCCCCAGATCATTCAGACAACGGTTTCAGCTGTTTGATGGCGACACCCGAAAATGTCTTCTGATGGGGATCCATATGCAGTACCTATTCTGAAACCACTACAGTATAGACTGTAGCTGGTATGGCTTCTGAAGCTTTGCTGGTTGAGAGTCTGTGGAGTGCAGAATCAAGACAGTGGAGGGTTGGGCAAGTGGTTGCTCCTCGACTCCAGACGTGTTGTAAAATTAATGTGGTTTTGATCAGTTTTTGTTGCCCAAGCAGTGGAGTTTCCAATGCTTTTTGGATCTGCAGGATTTGAAGCTGATTTCTGCTCTGCACCTGAAGAGGTGAAACGCCACTGCATGTGGCAGCGGAGAATGGCCACTTGCACATCCTCAAAGAGCTCCTTGCGGCCGGCGCTGCGAAGGAAGCGCGGAGTAATTTGGGCCGGGGACCCCCAGTTTCATGTTATAAATAGCCGAGCCAACCATGTGCGCTGTGCGCCCACACTTCGTTTTTGGACACAGGGAGGATACGAATCTATGATAACGCCCATGATGCTGCCGTGCTTTGTTGAACAGAACATTGCCATCACTTCCAGGCACCTATACCAGGTAGGGTGGTTGGAACGTAGCGACTGACTGGTGAAACCCGCACTCTCCGAAGTCAAAGATCAGAAGTATTCATTGCCCCAGCTATATACGATTATATATACGCACCTCTTCAGTATTGGCACTTTGCATGGGCTGGGCGGAGGGGAGCTGCTTCAAGAGATGCCTTCCCATTTTGATCGTTTGTTGACCCTGTTTCCCAATCCTAGATGGATGAGAGGCTATGTAGGCTATAGGAGATGCTATAGGCAGCGCATTGGCAAGTTGCCAAGTGATATAGTAGCCAATTGTTGCTGTTTGACCAAAACATGACCATGTCGTATGCCATGTAGAGATGCCATGTCGACTTTTCCTCCCCCCTTTTGGCGCCGACCCTCGCGGGTCGCCAACCGCTTTCGACGCCTCGAGGGACGACGCCGGCCGAGCTGGCGCGAGCGAACGGCCACGCGGCGCTCGTGGAGCTCTTGGACGCCCCCGACGGAGAGGTGGTGGAACCGAGGAAAAGTCCGACAAACACCGCCGGAGCCTTTTTTCGCCAGACTGGACCGATTTGAGCAAAAGAGGAGTTCAGGGAGATATGTAGGACGTAAAAACAAACGACCAAAATCTAACGTCTGAACAAACGCACACGAAAAGGGGGCAACGATGAAACGAAGGAACGTTGACATAAAAAAAACAAAAGTGCAAAAGAAAAAAGAACGAAAATCATCAAATAAGAAAATAGAAAAAATATGAAAAGTAGAGAGAAAAACTGCTTTGCGTTTTTTTCGCAGTCAGCTTTTTCGATGGTTTTACTGGGTTTTCGTGTCACGTTACCTTTGCCTTCGCTCGTTTGTTTTCGTTTTTGTTTTTTTTAAAATCCTTTCTCATGTTTTTTTATTTTGGCTTCTACTTTTTGTATTATGATCTTTGCTTCGATTTGTTTCTGGTCTTCGATATTTCTTGTTCGTTCGTTCGTTCGTTCGTTTTTTTACTTTTTTCTTTTGTTCCTTTTTTCGCCAGACTGGACCGATTTGAGCAAAAGAGGAGTTTTCGCAAGTTTGAGAGTGTGTGGCGCAACTGTGGTGCAATTGTGGTGCGATCCCACCTCTTTGGCATTCCTTTTTCAGGTTGTGTACTCGATGGACCACGGCCACGGACGGACCAGCCCAGGGAGTTGTGACGTATCCATGTCACAACATTGTCCAGAGTGAAATCATGTCCAGAGTGGTTTGGAAATCTTTGGAAGATCATTTCTTTTCGGCTGGACATGAAGTGGGCACCTCAAGGACTAAGGACCACCACTTGGGCAACCCTAGGACTTATGGTGGTCCAGTTTCATAAATTTCCCATGTCCAGTCTTGACAATTCTGCCAGGCAGCAAAGAACTGAAGAGAAGAGCAGTGCCTGCACCTTCGGCACGTGTTCACTCTTGCGCCTTCGGTTGACCTGGAACATATGGGCCTCTCTTGCCATTTACAAGATATGTTCCTCAAGTTGTTCCTCAATGTTTTTGGGCAAGCCAGTCAGAAAGCAGCAGTTGAGTGACACTTTCCGGAGTTGGGAAGAGCAGGGTTCAGATCGCATGGGGAGTCAGTCGCGTGTTGTTCAGAAAAGCGCAGCAGACATTCAGGTGGCTTTTCGTGACGTTTTCAGGTGACGTTTTTTTTGGCTGCAGTGACAGTGAGATGGAAGAGTTTCCTTGCATGGATGATGCCGGACGGTGGCACCTGTGGGTTCCAAAGGAATTTGCGAAGTCCCAGTGTTAGACTCTAAGACGATACATGGCACTATGATCCCCTGGGAACTGGTTCAATCACTGCGGAAAGGTCACTGGATGGGCATCTTTACTCCAAAACGGTCATGAACTGAAGAAGTTGGCGTAGAATACTTTCAATGAAAGAAAAGCATGTGTTCTCTATTCCATCCAGGTCTATGTGTCTCTCTCTTCCGCTCGTGGCTCGGACCGTCGGAGCGGTCGCGCGGTGCCCGAAAACCAGCCAGGTCGGCACGGTGCCGACCGAGTCGGTCTCGTTTTCCGCTCTAAGTTTCGTGGGATGTAACGTTCAAGAAGGTCACATCGTTTAGCGCTTGTACCTCCAGTGCTTCCGCTTCGATGCTTTTTGGGTGCGATCCTGTGCTTGTGGCAACAGCGGAAAAGGACAGTGTTTCTTGCTTTTTTATTCATGATACTGCGGTACACTTGTGATGGTGTGCGCAACAATATCTAGTAAGCAGACCATGCACTTCTTTTTTAAAGTAGGAGCAAATTTCAGAGGAAGCAGTGTCACATGAACTAGCGTAGCGGAAGACAAACAGTAACGCGCTACAGCTTCCCACAGCCCTCAGCATTCCCCTCAGTACGGATTGGACCTCTTCCACGATGTTCGAAAGGCACTGCCAGCGAAGATGGCTGTGCCGTGCCGCGCCGCTGCGTATTCTGACGGCAGCTGGTGGTGGCAAAATGACGCGTTTGTGTGGTATCGTTCGTTGAATGAATTCTGAACATTTGCTTGCAGAGATGCTGTCCTCTGCCTTCAATGGTTGTTTTGGGAAGAACATGGAATAAATATAAACAGCGCAATCATTGAGTACGTTGAGGGAGGCTGAGGCTGTGCGCTAGTGCTGTTGTTTTCGCTGGTTGACCTTTTTGGGCATAATATATAGGTCAATCTTGAAACGAGATTGTTTGATATAATATACGATTAATTTTTTGTATGCTTCATCCTGTCCTAGTGGTAGTCTACTAGTGGTGGTCTACTAGTGGTAGTCTACTAGTGATAGTCTACTAGTGGTAGTCTACTAGTGGTAGTCTACGAGTGGTAATCTACGAGTGGTAGTCTACCGGTGGTAGTCTACTAGTGGTAGTCTACTAGTGGTAGTCTACTAGTGGCAGTCTACTAGTGGCAGTCTACTAATGGTAGTCTACCAGTGGTAGTCTACTAGTGGTAGTCTACTAGTGGTAGTCACTAGTGATACTCTATTAGTGGTAATCTACTAGTGGTAGCCTACTAGTGGTAGCCTACTAGTGGTGGTTTATTAGTCGAATACCAAGTGCTATCTATGCTGCGAAATTTGCACTTCGAAATTCTTTTCAATATTAATTATATCTATTACGAAATCTGCATATCGAATATATCGAAATTTAATAAATGCCCGATATGATAAATTTGCATTTTAAGGTTTATTTAGTATTGCGCGTATTACGAAAGTTATATCTAAATTTTTTTAAAATATTATATGTATTTTGAAATTCGTATTTTGAGATTTATATAATGATATAATTGGCATAAAATATATAGATTTAAAAAATATTTTTATTATAATATATTTATATTTATATATTATATAATTTAAATTTCTAAATTTAGTAAAATATGGATTGATTTTGATATTTGTATTTCGATGTTTATGATGTTGTTTATTACGAAATATGGAATTTAATAAATGGGAGTTGATCGAAAATGCCATATAAGGAATTTTATATAAAACAGCTTTTTAGATGTTGTTAGAACCATTCGCGATGAGGTTCGCGAAAATATCTTTTTTTTTGTTCGCGAAAGATTTATCGAAGGTTATCGCTTTTATTGTTTTTTTTTCTACCGGATTGACGAATAGAAACGTAAGGTAATCTTCCGGTAGAGCTAGTGGGCGAAGTGTTCTTATGTCACAAACTAACGAATTGAAGCCTTAACCTTTCCGTGCCTAGCCCTGGTAGTGCGTAAAGGATTTTCCGATTCTTGTCCCTATTGTTATATATTAGCAAGCTGGGTAGGCGTAGCCCTGATAGTGAGGCAACGACCTGCCGCTGCTCTGACGGGCTGTGTAGATATTTGCACATGTTACGGCGTCCCCGGGAAAGCACTAGTGAAATTTCGCGAATGTGTCGCTAAAGTCTAGGTTCCTAGCTTGAGGCCCCTAATATTCCCCAAGCTGCATTATCTTGTTGGTAGCTGACACGAGGATTGGGTTGAATTGTGCCTGATTCTATTTGGCACAATTGTCGCATAGATGCTGCAAGTGACCCTGAGTAGCTGTGGAGATGTTCAACCATCTATTGGGGTCATGCTGTAAGATGTCTCTCCCTATTATGACATGTTCCGGCTCATGTTAATTAGATATGGTTGTAGGATTATACTTCGCGATGAGACCGCGAAAGATATTTTTTTTTCCGCGATGAATGGCCATTCTAGGATGAAAGAATATTGATTAAATATTTAATATGAAAACGTGTAGTTTAAGATTTATTTAATACGATATATATTATGTTATTTATATTTAAGTCTTTTAAAATATTATATGTATTTTAAAATATATATTTTAATATTTATATAATGATATATTTATTACAAAAATTATATATATATTATTCTATTTTTTAAAAAAATAATTATATTTAAATATGATAGAATTTACATTTCGATATTTATTAAGATATGGATTTATTTAATATTTATATTTCGAAATTTATTGATAATGTTTCATTACGAAATTTAATAAATAATGAATATGCAAAATTTACATTTATCTAATACGGTCCTTGCCATAAAATGTATATTTACGATTTTTAGATTATTATATATATTTTAAAATCTATATTGAGAAATTGACCTTTGAATCGCGATTGCAACCTGTTGGTGTCCAGATCCATGAGGGTTCATGAATTGAGCACGACCTTGCTTACTTGGCTCAAGGGCTCGCAAAAGGAGCGACTCGCTACTGTGCGGCGCACGACGCGTCGCTTTGGCTGCTTTCACATTGGCTGCTTTCACATTGGCAGCGGAGCTTTAGCTGGAGCCAAGGGACGCTCCTGTTCGCGGTGACCACCCCTATCCCTTTGCTCCGGCGTGATGGCTGCGCTGGAGGCCCTTCGTTGGCGCCCTGGACATGAACAAGATGACCAAGACCTCATGTCCACGGAAGGAAAAGGCATGGTGCCTAGGTACGATGGAGAGCCATCCAAATTGGCTGAGTACAGCTTCCGGGTGAAGCTGCTTCACACCCGGTTCCAGCACCTCGACGAGGCTGAAGCCAAGAAGAAAGGCCCTCTTGGCTTGTTGCTGATTGATGGACTACGTGGTCAAGCTCTTCAGGTGGCAAGGGAGCTTGATCCTGCCAAATTGGCCAAGCCAGATGGCCATAAGCTACTGGTGGACATGCTCTACAAGGCCTTCCGCCCTCGACGACAACAAGATGCAAGAGAGCTGTACAATGCAGGAGCCCAGACTACTCGGATGCTGGCTCGCTAAGCAGGCGAGACGATGACGAGCTTCCTCCTTCGTCGGAGGACCTGGTACTCCATGCTCATCGACCTCGATGACAAGCTGCAGCTGCCTGACCCCATCCTGGCGGAGCAGATCCTGGCTAGCGCCCGGATCAGCCAAGATCATCAGCTGATGATCAGGACAACTTTGCAAGGCGATGTCACGGTCGCCAGAGTCATGGACGAGCTCATCGCCCAGCATGGAACCATCCATGAGCAGGAACTCCATCGAGGACACCATGGATTCCAAGACCACCAAGCACGAGGAAAAGGTGGACGCTTCCCACAACGGCACAAGCCCTGGCAGGGCTACCATGTCGACGGAGGCTCGGAAGAAGATTGGGCTGGCTATGACACCGCCTCTCAATCTCTTGGAGGATTTGAAGAAGACCTCAACTCGGTGTACTATGGTGAGGAGGCCTATGACCCGGAGGAGACCTTCGAGTTTGACGAAGAGGATCCGGTCTTCGGCCTACATCACCATGCAGGACAATGGCCTGGACTGCGAGAACCAAGAAACCCTTGAGTATGCAGCGGAAATGCTGCAGGCCCAGAGCGAAGCCTTCTACACTCCCAAGAGGGCACAGCAGAAGGGTCACACCGGCTTCACTCCTGATTCCTTCCGAGGAGGCAAAGGTTTTCGCGGCAAGGGCAAGATGACCTCTGAGGAGAAGAAGGCCAGAATCGAAGCGCTCAAGAAGCGTACCACTTGCCGGAAGTGTGGCCAGACAGGTCACTGGTCGACCGACTTCTCATGTCCCAAGAACCGCAAAGGGGGCGGAAAAGGATCTTCATCGTCGACTACCTCAACGGCGACTGGCACCGGTTTCAAAGGTGGCAAGAAAGGTGGCAGCAATTCAAGCTCGAAAACCTCGCACGGTCTACTTCACTGTGAATGAGTATGACCAAAACCACGACCTTGAGAAGGGTGAGCTGCCCTATATGGCCCTCATGGCCTACCGCAACGTGCCACCACCTGCTGATCTACAACAAGGAGTTGTGATGTCGCCATCATCCGAACCTTCTGCGGATGAGATGCTTGAGGCAGCACTTCAAGAAGCTGCAGCCCGACAACAGCTTCAGACGATGAATGCACAAGGTCAACAGTTGGCTTTGGAGGGAACAGGTCATGGACATCTTCCTGGACCTCATGAAGCTTCTCAGTTGCACATGCTTCCAGTGCCCGAAGATGCAGAATGGGATCAAGTCTCAATGGCTCACTCTGAATCCCTGGAATTGGTGAGCATCCATCAACCCACCGAACAAGACCTTCGAGATCTCGCACTGGATGAGCAATGGAGCCCTCCACCGCGTCGTGAATGCTTCAATGTCTTTGGCCGTCCGCCAAACTACAAGGCACCTCCAGCCATGCTGCAAAACAGGTCTTCAACACCAGGACCTGGAGCCCAAAGTTCGCCCACTGTGCTCTCGACTGCTTCGGAGTATGCACCTACGACTCCGGGAGAATGTCTTCATGAACGGACCACCACATCCGGATCCAACGCCTACTAGACCCAGGTCAAGTGTCTGGATTGCAACATGGTGCTCAGCAAGGTCAAGAAGGACCGCTATGCCCACATGGAGACGAAAGACATCGACGAATGTCCTCATGACAACAAGGACTACCGGGGCACTTCAGCCACCACGTGGCAATGGCGCTGCAAGGACTGTGGCAAGAAGGAAAGTGGCTTCAAACCGCCCGGCACATCTGGACGAGTGGGTTCAACGGCCCAGTCATCTTCCCCTTCAGATGTGGCACCACCTGGACGACCACCATATGGCCCAGCACCGCAGATGAGCAGCGCAGAGACTGTGGTGGACATGATGAGAAACGCTCTCAGCATACAGCGAGATGTTGGACAAGATGTCCCTTCAAACCACCTGGACATCATCTTCCGTCGTTGCCGAGAGCTGGTCTTTGGAGTTGATTCACAAAGTCCGGTAACAGAGGCTTCCAGATCGTCTCCAATGACTGCACCAACCAATGCCTCACGCTCCAGATCTGAGTCTGCCAACAGGACTTCATCAGGCACAGCCACACCATCACCGGGAGGACCGGCACCCTCAGGTGCACTTCGTGGACCTGATCGATCTGGAGAAGGACTCTCTCAGGTGACATTCCCGGCAAGAAGCAAGGATGCTGGACCCCGAGAAGTGAAGCTTGAAGATCTTCACCACTGGGACCGTCGCTTGGTTCA